AGTTCAAAGCAGTGTTTCATTCTATAAGCTCATTATAAGTTCAAAGCAGCAGTTTCACAGGGCCTTGCTTTATCATAATGCAAACCTATAGCTTCATCCTTGTATCTAACCTAGAATGAATGTTTCACTTAATCACAAATTTGTACCAAGCCTATTTATTTTGGTGGTGTATTTATGAAATCTCATTTTATTTCTTATTATACAACCTTTACTTACTATTCTCTGGGAAGTGGGCATATTTTATTCTTGATTTTAAGTTTATTATATCTTTCTGGCAAAGCAGCTAAAACATCTGTTAAAACTTTCTTACTAAAATTATTTTAATCAAATCAGGAATTCTATAAAATCATTATCAGGAATTATAAAATCATTAATTTGACTATACAGCATTACTACATGATGGCATATCTTTGTTGATCTGCAGAAAATTTCCCTAATAGGGTAGACTAATGCCCAGGAATCATCAGATTATGTAATAATGACAGGAAAAGGCATACCAGATATAAGAGGCAATCCTGGGATGAAGTTTCTTGGGTTCTTGCCTCTCAAAGCTCACCCATCATAGGCCATGCAAAAATGATGGACCATCTCCAGAAAAGTCACCTGCTAGCTTTAGTTTCCCCTAGATGGCTCCTGACACTGTAGGTCTTCCTGTGGTATCCTTAACCCCTCCAGCTTGCAAACTTCTATTCTTTACTCATTCTCAAGACTTCTTGAGCTCCACCTGATGTTCGGGTGTGGGTTTCTGCATCTGATCTCATCTGCTTCTGGATGAAGCCTCTTAGGAGATAATTATTTTAGGCTACTATCTGCAAGCATAGCAGAGTAACATTAATAGTGTCAGAGGTTGGCCCCCAGACCTTAGTACAACAGACTCCATGATGGAAGTAACATTAAGGTTATAAAACTCAGCACATAGAAGTACCATCTGCCAAACTGAAAACACAGGCCTAATCAATCAAAATCCATAATTTTTGGAAAGTCTTTAAGTGTACTAACCTTGCCTTTTGGCTTTTGTAGTTCTATGTCTGCGTAACTGCTCTTGTTAACAGAAGTATATCCACTTAGGACGTGGATTCTATGCTTAAGAGCTCATCCTGAGAAAGGCTTGGAGTTACAATGAAATCCTGAATACACAGTTTAGTTTCAGATCAGCTAGTAATGGCATTCTATTGGTTTAAACCTGTGTCCAAGTAGTCCTCTCTGGTGTATACCCCTTAACATTTCCTTCTTTGTAAAATTTGCATATTTATCAGGAAGCTCTCTTGGTATGCCTTTCTAGAATCAAAATGTTAAGTTACAATTTTTGAACAAAGTTCCACCTTGTTCAAAAGTGGGTTATTAAATGTCATTTTTAAACATTTCCACTTCCCTTCTGCTTCATTGTTGTGTAGAAATCACTCTTCTCAGACTTTTGAAGGCTTGTTTTATCACTTAACATGCCATTCTGTCTCTTTGGGTTACCATTTACGTGAAATGTGTCTTTCCATTTCTTGTCTTTTAAACTTGGTGTGTCCATAAATCTAAACATGCTTCATTTAATTTTAGTTTTGTAGCCATCCTATGGTAAACTTTTATTTTCATTAAATTATTTAGTCATACAATGTTTTTACAGAAAATTTAATCTACTCAAATTTAGAAAAAATCAATATTATTTATTATAATATATTTATATATCATAAATGTTATATGTATCATATATTAATTAAATTTATTTTATTATATATTTATATATACTTTATTATCTAATAAAATATTTAATATTAATATATTCATATAATATGAAAATAAAAATAAATTATTAAGAAAATTTTATGCCAAAAAAGCAAGCATAGACCAACATATCTTTAAGAAATAGAATTTGGGAATAATATGTATTTAAAAAATTCTTAGAAATCTAAGACCTGACATGAACATTGGATTTGAGATCTAGATGAGTCTTCCTTTCTGCTTTCTGCTGCGTCCAATTGACACTGATTTCTATTGCAATGCATTTCTTATCAAGCTATGCATGTATGAACTGTCATTTAACTTTAGATGGTTGTACTGACACTTGCCCAGAGTACTGGAAAACTGATATTTCTTACAAAATATTTTTAACAAGCCCAAAAACTAGAAACAATTAATGATTCAAAAGTAGATACCAAACCCAAGGTAAAGATAGTGTTTCTATGTTCTGTGTTCCAAGACCAATGATCAAAAATTGCTAGTTAGCATAATAGAACAAGGATAAACAAATAATGCTGTATGGTATAATGTAGGGTTAAACTCACAAATTTTGCCTAACCAAAGAACCAAGACAAGAGCAGTAGATATGGCTTAGAAGTTATGAGCACTTTCTGCCTTTGCAGAGGACCCGGCCTTAGTCCTCAGCACCCATATGATGTCTAACCATCTCTAACTCCAATTCCAGAGGATCCAATGAAGATCCAGTGGGAACATCAGGCCACCAATGGTATTACGTGAATGTGGTGCACAATCGCACATGCCGGCAAAACACCGTTATGCATAAAACAAAGATAAATACATACATAAAAATGGACCAAATAAAATCTCATCTCGTAAAAATTCCCAGACAAATATAATCTACACCTTTATTTCTTTACTTAAAACATTAACCTGCTTTACAAGGTTTACAGTTAGTTAAAAATTGAATAACTCCAAAGATACAATATTTTGTACATGTAAACAGGGATCCAGAAGAGTTAATCACAAAATATTATTGTTCTCAATGTTGGGCATAGGAACACTGAGGGTAAAAGCATAATATTTGGAAGGAAGGTCTATAATTAAGGAATTATAGTGAAGGACATAATCTCATAGGAAAAATAGAGTTGAGGGTTGAAGACATTAATTATTGGATAATGGAAAGTGATGTGCCAGTTGTGACCTGGAGCAAGGTCATGGCTAAAGGCCAATATGTAAGCTGGAAGAAGCAAAGGATGAAGGGAGAAGTTGAGGCTGGGGAAAATTGTAACATTTCCCTCTCAATGTATCAGATGAGAATTGGCCGACAAGGGTCTTCATTTTTATTGACATTTTTTCCTTTTTTAAAAATTGAATATTTTATTTACATATCAGATGTTATCTCCTTTCCCCATTCCCCCCTAGGGACCCCCTATTCCATCCCCTCTCCTCCTGCTTCTATGAGGATGTGCCCCCAGACACCCACCCATTCCCACCTACCCACCCTCAATTCCCCCACACTGGGACATCCAGCCTTCCTGGGACCAAGGCTCTCCTTTCCCACCTATGCCCAACAAGGCCATTCTCCCTTACATAAACATTTTGTTTCAAATGTAAGAAGTCATCATCATAAAAATTTAATTAACAGAGAAGTATAAAAGAAAAAAGTCTGACCACCACAGTCTCACTTACAAAAAAGGAAACAAATTAACAATTTGTCTATAATTTCAAATATTTTCTGACACCAGTGTCTGATATAGGTACACATATACACACATGCACGCGCATGCATGCACACGTGTGTACACACACACACACACACACACACACGAGGTAAATATACTCATAACACAATAATGAAAGCAACTTTCTGGACATAAATAGACACATTAAGTATATCATATATATTATAATGTATTTAGTTGTCTATGTACTTATCTGCCTATTATCTATATCTATCTATGTATATATGTATGTATATATCTTTAGATCTATGTATGTATGTATGTATGTATCTGTCATCTATCTGTCTACCATCTGTCTATCCATTTATATGATGTCTATCTCTTATCTATCTACATATCAAGAAGACTATTATTCTATTATCTATTGAGTGCTTCATATGGAGAATAAAGCAAAAGAAGGAAGCAGAGATGTAAAAATTAAGTTTGGATAAATGAAAAAAAATGAAGTGTCATAAAAAAAGCAAGATTAAAATACTATATTCAAGGGTAAGTGGAGAGGCAGTGATATCTTTTTTTTTTTTTTAAGGAGAAAAAGCCAACAAGAAAGCACATTTCTCTAGAAAGAAAAAAAGAAATTATGGGCAGATAAACAATAAAGATACCTATCAGTTATTCCTGTGGATGAAAGTGACTCATAGCACATTTTAATGGAGAATCCAAATTCATTATTTGAAACATTAGTGATTTTATTAAGTTTATTTATAGTATTCTAAGGTATTTAAAAAATTAAGGCAATTTAAAATAAATTAAAATAATGTAAGACAATTTTAATTATTTTATGGAATTATTTTTATATTACCAACAAAATATCCTCTTTCCCTTAGTTGATAGCTTCACCTTCCAAAAGGACTCAAACAACATACCTTTTTGTTTGATATTGTAGTGACAGGTGTAACTAATTGCCATCTCTTTCCAAGCTGAACACCTTTCATATTGGATTTTCATATTGGATATTGGATTTCAACCCAGCTATTATTCTGATTATTTTGTGTTAAGATTTGATAGTGCATTCAATTCAATATCTCAATCCTATGTAATCATTGTCTTTGAAATATTGAAACGTTGGGTTTGTTCTTTTGTTGGCAACTATTCTTGATATTTTTCCAAGCTTTGTAAGATAACTTATACTAGATTTTCTTGACCTATGTTTTTTTCCTATTATTGTGCTTTTGTTTTTTTTTTTAAGTCTGTTTTCCTTGTGACTTTGTTGGCTCATTCTATAGGAAAGTGTCTGAAGTGACAGAGCAGAAAGTCAGAACAGTGTTGAATCCTATAAGAAAACAGAGAAGCACAGTTCTAGGTGGAATGTTAAATGTAGAAGACAATTAGTTATACTTAGAATTAATAAATGAGGATAATAAGCCATTGTTTCAAAGAACTTGTAAAAATTCTTTGTTCCCTTTGAAGAACACATACTGTTCTTTAATCTACCTTGTCTGGCTGAGGTTCAAATAACAAATTAGATATGGGTGGGAAGTGCCCATCCTATGGTCTTCAAGGTAACATTGTTTTCTGGGTCTCATAAAAGCTGTGTCTGAAGTTCTGCTAGTACCAAGGGAGAGAGACACCATGGCTGCCTCTAGGATTCTTCTGGTCCTGCTCTCAATAGCCCTGCTGGCCCTGACCTCAGCTCAAACAGCCAATGAAGGTAATAGAGAAAATTAGGTTGAAATTTATAGAAAAGAGTAGGGTTGGGCCAGTCTTTATTTTTTTTTTTTTAAGAAATCAGTTAAATATCCAGAGAATCAGCCAATCAAAGGGGAGGCTATATTAGTATCTATATCATTCTTTTACTGATGACAAAAATATGTGTCTGAAACTGTCAGTATATGTTCTAAACTAGTATCTTCATAGTGTAACATTTACTATTTGAATGTGCATAGATTTTCCACACCAATTCTCTGTGGGAATAGGGTAGAAACATAATTCACCTGGATATTTTGTTTCCTTGCTAACAAACACTTGAACATTTAGAATTATTGAGAATTTTTATTGAATCTTCATGTTTAATAAAAATTTCATTTACTGATTCTTCTACTGATTCACAATGCTATTTGCTTTCCATGCAGAGTATTACAGTTCAGTGAAGTACAGAATTCCAGTTAGAATATTTATTTACCAAAATCTGAGCAACTTCTGAATGAAAATCTAGCTTAGAAGGTTAGCAAAATTTGAGTATCTCAAGATACTCAAAACAATATGTTAATGAACAAAAATGAATTTCTTGTTAATGTGATGAAAGAAAGTACCACTTTCCTTTAATACCTTGGGTAAGAGCAAAAGGCAAAATTGGAATATTCAAAAAATAAAGCTCTGAGGTGTGGTTGGTGGAATGAGTTCTTCTTTAAGAATGAGTAGAATATATAACTTATGATGGAGGCTATGGATAGCTATAAAAGGCATCATAGGGAATAAACAATTATGGCAGTAGAAAATTGAAAAGACTTGTATTTAGTTAAAGGGGTTTTGGATAACTCCCTGAAATAAGCAATCATTGTTTGGGAAGTTTTGTCTTCTGGGAAAAAGCTATGTGGGTAGTAAAGTCTTGCTAATGTAAATGATGAGTTGCAAGGCCATGGATGGTTTGATTCTCAAGTTGTAATTGTTCAGGGAGTCACATCATCAAGCATGGTGCTACACTGTAAAGGAAGAAAATCAATTGATTGCTCGATTTCCTCTTATTAATTTTCAGTCCTTAATAGAGACTAGGCTTCTACTTTGGGTATATATATATATATTTCCCTAAGTAGTATCTTTGCTCTAAATAGTCCCATAGACCAAGGTCAACAATGGAATAATAGAAGTTTCTTGTGGAGAGGAAAGAATTTATTTCATGTATGCTTCCAGGTAACAGTCCATTACAGAGGGAAGTCAAGGCAGGAACTCTAGCAGGGCAAGAATCTAAGTGTGTTCTACTGATATCCAGACACTTATCTCACCGACACAAGAGACACAATATGAAAGGCTGGCTTGTGTTTAATACCATGACTGAAGACTACTAAAATACTCAGAGTTTTTGCTCTTTTGCTTTTTGAAACAAGTAATCCTGAGGCTGAGGATACTTACTTGCTTGCTCCATATATATATGGAGCTCCATATATGGATGCTCTAAATTATATATATATATATATATATATGTATATATATATATATATATATATATATATATATTTCCCTAGTAGTTTCTTAAGTTTTTTCATAATGTCTTTTGACTTATACTAGTGAACTGTTGGAATATATTGAATCAAATAATAAATTTATTATATTTCTCTTTTTAAATCCTAGATGATGAAAATTCCTTTCAAGAGCAAGGTCAGTCTTCATTTAAGGCTATGCTTCATTTTCCTTCAGAACATATAATAATTTAATTATCTTTATTAAACTATTAAATTATCTATAATAGTATATATAATTATATAATTATATTATATTATTATATAGTATAATTTATGTATAATATAAATTATTATTATTAAACTATTAAATTATCAATAATAGTTTTGCTTATCTTTTTGTCATTTAGAAGTTCTAAAAATTGGGCTTAGGAAGTTTCAAAAAGCAAAAGAGCAAAAACTCTGAGTATTTTAGTAGTCCTCAGTCATGGTATTAAACACAAGCCAGCCTTTCATATTGTGCCTCTTGTGTCGGTGAGATAAGTGTCTGGATATCAGTAGAACACATGTACATCATTCATTTGTAAACACTTTGCTCTAAATAGTCCGATAGACCAAGGTCAACAATGGAGTAATAGAAGTTTCTTGTGGCGAGGAAGAATTTATTTCATGTATACTTCCAGGTAACAGTCCATTACAGGGGGAAGTCAAGGTAGGAACTCTAGCAGGGCAAGAACCTAAGTGCAGGCAGTAATCCTGAGGCTGAGGATACTTACTTGCTTGCTCCTTAAAGCCTTCTCAGTCTGCTTTCTTATATACCACATGACCAGATGTCCAAGGGTACATTACCCACCATTGGCTAAACTATTCCAAATCGATCACTAATTAAGAAAATGCCATGTGAGCTTGCCTGCCTATAGCAGGGTCCTATGGAGGCATTTTTTTTTCAATTGAGGATCATTTCTCTCAGATGACTTTATCTGTGTTAAGTTGATATAATACCAGAACAATATATACTTCATTTATATAGTGAATATATATGGAATTTACTTTAATATTATAGTTATCCAATCATTAAATATTCCACCAAAGACATAGGAGAATCAAGAAAGAGGAAGTAATGAACAAGTTTTTATTCTTTACTTAGAAGAGAGAGGCAGATGGTTCAAAGTTCTAATACCTACCTGGGCTATAGAGTGAGTTGGAGTCTAGTCCAGACAATTTAGCAACTGAAAAGTAAAGGAGATTTGGGCCAGTGGTAGAGCACTTGCCTATTGTGCATTAAACTCTAGGTTAAATCCACGACAGCAAGCAAAACCCTTGAAAGCCATGTAGAAATTTGTCTTAAATATGTTTCTTGACTTGTTAATGATCTTTCCACCCAGTTTGTAATGTAATTTTCAACTTCTTTGTGTTTGTGTATTGTTCTTTCTTCGCAGAAGTCCTTGAAGCTGAAGACAACAACCACCACCGTGAGACATTTCAACTTCAATTAAGTTATTTGGAGTTATTCTGAACAATGTCTAACAGTTTCTGGCTCTCTGATCTAGTATAAAATCCCTCTAATTTATTAGATTAAAAAAACCTCAAGCCTAACCTTAAAATTTTCCTTTCCTCACTATTCTACTACTTAGTTATTACGTTGTAAAAAGGCTCAAAAATCAGAAGAGGCATAACAAAAATTATAAGAACAGCAAAATGAGAAGGATGAAGAAACAGCCCTTCCCCCACTCCTTGCCTTGACTATCTTTGTGATGACAGACTCATGTCAGGTTTCCAGAAAGAAACATTCTGATTATTTCCCCTTGTAACAGCTAAATGGGGCATGGTTAGTATACATTAGGCACTTGGAATCTAATAGATGGTGAAGCTTGCACATAACCATTCACTGTTAAGGAATTAGGCATAGAGAATGATAGATATCAGAGTACAGGAGTAAAGAAAAAGACCTCACACAAAAGATAGTATAACCCACAGTTAAATCTATGCTTTCATTTTAGTCTTAGAAGGTTAAAAAGTCATATAGTTGTTGTAAGTAAGAGGAGCTGAAAATGTGAGTTAGTATCAGTGTGTAAAAGATATTATGCATAGCAAATTGATTTCCTACCCATCCTTCAAGCAACAAACATGTTGTGTAACAATATTTTTATATTAGGATTTCTCTTAGTCACTGAGAAATATGATGAAACACGGGCACTTTCATATGTATCATACAAAGTCCATGTTTTGGATAGATGGTGCTATATAAAAAGAGCAGGTGTATCAAAAGATGGGGGAGGGTAAATTTGGGACAGAGAAGCAAAAGGATCCTCACTAAATAATTATACACACCCAAGCTAGATCCCTTTGTCCCTCTTCTTGTAGATATTGGACCTAGACAGTATCTAATACCATCTACCACAGTAAAACAACTTCTCTCTAAATTGTATGATAGACTGTATTGTTAACTTGTTATGTTCATGATGATACTTTCCCTGTTTTTGATTTTCGGGATGTGTGTTCTCTCTCTGCAAGATGGTGATCTACACGCAGCACTAGATGAAATAAAGAACCATTATCAAGATGAACGAAATCATCATGGTAGGGCAACCATCAAGTCCAAGAGAGAAAAGAATGGCCAACGTCGTAATCGAAACTCTGGTGGTGACATGTTGGGAGGCCAGGATCCTCAGAGTGGAAATCAACCAGGAGGAGGTGGCCAAGGAGGTCGTGGTCGCAGTGTTCAAAAAGGCCAGAAAGGAAAAGGACGCCAGAAAGACCAGAATGGAAAAGGTAGCCAGAAAGAAAAAGGTGGCCAGAAAACGAAGCGTGGAAAAGGTGGCCAGAGAACCCAGCAGGGTCAGTACAACAGCAGTCCCAATGACCAAAGAAAAGGAGAACCAACTAATGATGGGCTCCAATGATTCTGTCAGGGCTAATTAAATTAGTAAACCGATCATTTAGTAAAGTTCTCTTTCAATTCACCAGTTTTTCTCATTTCTCTGAGTTTTGCACCTTCTTTTTCTCTCCAACACTCTTTCCCAGCTCGGTTCTTGCCACTCTCCTCACCACCTCACATCTACATATAGAAAGCCCTTCTTCCTTCTCACAGCAGCAAGTGCTTCCTCTGTCCTGTCTGAATTTCTCTCATCATCAGATTAGTTAAATGTGTTCCTAAATTTTTTCTGTTTTATCATCTCCCCTTCTCTTTCTTCTCCGTTCTCTGCTCCTTCTCCTATCCTCTCCCTTTCCCTCGTCTCTCTCTTCTACCTGCTTTTTCTCTTCCTTAATATTTTCTTCCTTCCTTCTTTCTTTCCTTCCTTCCTTTTTTTCTTTTTTTCTTCTTTATTTTTATTGAGACAGAGCTTCAATTTATAGGCCAGGCTGGCTGGGAATTCACTATGCAGCCCAAGTTTGCCTCACATTTAGTGATCCTCCTGCCTTACTATTCTGAGTGCTACAAGCATGGACCATCATGATTACTAGATGTTGAAGGTATAGGACTATTTGACTTCTAAAGTCTTTCTCTTTATTTCAGAGATTGTTCAACAATTCTCCCGGGATTAAACCACTTGGCTTTTCCTTTCTTCAAGTTCAAAGCGTCAATAAAATCATCAGCATAAATACCTTGGCTTCTGTCTTCCTTCTAGGATTATGGTTCTCCATCCTGGTCTGTTCTCTGGAGTTTTACAAGCACATAGATGTTAGGAGTTTGGTGGTGCCTTAACATGTGTTTGAAAGCAAAGAATAATATTCTTGAAATCAATGACCAAATTATCAATATATAAGCTTTTCTTAGTTCAAACAGAAAATTACATTGCAAGCTTCACTGACAATATTTCAATGCTCAAGTATTGTTCCATATCATTGGGTATCTTGGATTTAAGAGAGTCCCAACGTTAACCAGAGTAGAGGGATAAGCCTTCAACAGAGTCTTGCTTACACCTCTCAGAGAGAATTAGCGAGCCCTATTTACAATTTGCAATTCTAGCATCCAGAACTGTTACAGAAAACATACAACATATTTGTGTGGTTGGAGCATCTTCTCCTCCACTCCAGTTTGAGGAACTTGGTTTTAGCACCTTAGAAAAAGTTATGAGAGAAAATTCACTTAGGAGGGTAAAAGAGAGAGAGGGGGATGAAGGAAGGAAAGAAAGAGGGAGGAAGGGAGGGAGAAAGAGAGAGAACAAGTTGACTAGATCCAAGCCTCTTGCAACTGGTGGTCTCAATACAGTCAAGGTAAGACTGTGCTCCTCCTAGACCTTCTTCACTTTCCTTACTGCAGAAACATGTGTAGTACAGGTGGGCCAGAATGTAGAAGATAAAACTGAAGACTTCAGTGGCCTCCACCAAGATCCTAAACATCTCACTTTCAGTGTTAGTGTTATTGATCTGAGCAGAGCAGTTTGACTACCTGGCTATTTCTACCGTGGTCAACTCTGTTCACTCTGCAGGTAGCCCTGTGGGAGTTGCATGATGCAAAATGTATGAAACACGTAAACTGGAGTATAGGCACATATGAAAACTGGCTTAGGGGAGAATGAAAGAAAAAAGTTGATTGCATATGTTGCAAGAAGGCTAGGAGCCTATACTCTTGATATTTCCCAATTATGAAAACATTCATCTAAAGTCCAGAAACTGCAGAAAGCAAGTAAAAATAAAACTCAATAAACTTTGCAACCTCAGACAAAAAATAATGGATATTAATTTCCTATGTAGTGACTTACTATTTGAACAATGAGGATTACATAGTGAAAGTCTTATCCAAATCAACACTGCCTTCAGTAGCATAAGGCTGGAGAACAGGCAGGACATTCACAAACAAACCTTTTCACATCACATATTTCTTCGCAAGATCCTAACTACTGACTTTGCTTTCTTAAAGTTGATCATCTTCCAATTCTTTCATCTGCCAGGAGTTCTATTTTCCATCTCTTTTCTCCTCACATTGAGCTATCTTTTATTACCACAGAGAAACTTGCAGTCCGCTTGTATTAAAAAAAAGTTTTCTTTTTTCTTTTTCTTTTTTTAAGATTTATTTATTTATTTTATGTATGTGAGTACACGATTGCTCTCTTCAGACACAACAGAAGAGGGCATCAGATTGTATTGCAGATGGTTGTGAGTCACCATGTGGTTGCTGGGAATTGAACTCAGGACCTCTGGAAGAGCAGTCAGTGCTCTTAACCACTGAGCCATCTCTCCAGCCCCAAAACCAAAATTTCAATCCAGAGATTCTATTGTTCTTTATGCACAACTTTACAGTGCCACCAAGTTCATATGCCAGTTTGAAATGCTGGCAAAAATGTCTGACCACACTACTTCAACAATCTTCTCATTGTCAATAAAATGAAGAACACACTTCAACTCAATCTGTTGTTCACAGCTCTTTACCAGTATGGAACTGATTTTCATTTCTGGTCCATGTTTCTTGATCCTTACTCAAGCAGCAAGATGTGTGTGTGTGTGTGTGTGTGTGTGTGTGTGTGTGTAAAATTATCTGTGTATTAGTTTTTGATTTTCCCTGATCCTCCATAGTCTAGATCACATGACAGCTCTCTGTGAGCACATTTTCTCCCACTCCAGACACTACCTCTTACCTCTTGTTAGTAACACAATAATTCTTTCTGAGACAGGGCCCTATATAACCCAGGCAATCCTGAACTTGATATGTAGCCAAGGGTTATCTTGAACTTATGAACTTCCTGCTTTTCAAGTGCTAGGGTTACAAGTGAGTGCCAGTACATGTAGCTAAAACACCTTCTTTCTCTTTCTTAGTGCTGTCATAATTGTGTCTAAGCACTGTCTTCTATTGAGTCTCATATTCCTAATACCAATAATAAAGCTTTTTATTCCCAGTACTGTCAAGAGGTCTCTGCCAGAGGGATTATTTAGAAACACCTAAGACTCAGGGCCCTTAGAGATGATTCAAAGGTTAAGGGCATCCATTGCTTTTGCAGAGAACCCAAGTTTGGTTTCCAGTAACCATGTCAGGTGGCTCCCAACCACCTTGTTCCAGTGGATCAAATACTATCTTCCATCCCTCATGGATACTTGCTCTCATGTGTATATATACAGATACATATGTATATGCATAAATAAAAATAAAAACAAATAATAAAAAGACAATAAAAACCATGTTGATCTGCATACATTTGTCTATAAAAGCTTAATTATATAATTCTAACTGATTGGGTATCTTCCTGATCTCAGATAGAATTATCTCATACCCATAGAAATGAATAACTTGGAATAAAATTTCATAGTTGGATATCTTTATATGTTTTGTCTTATGAAATGAAAATGTGATAGATTATAAAATAGACATTGCAACCACAGTCATAGCCAATATCTGATTAAGAGTAGAATAATTAAATTGACTATATATCTAATCATCTATCCCTTACTAGGCAATAACTTCTTCAGGAAGAATTCAAATATATACAGATTTTTGTAACTAAAGTTGGGGACCCTCCCCTATGGTGCGGATTGTTCTTGGGGAAATGGGTTATCTCAAGTTTCTTAGTCTTGCCAACAAAATAATTTAAGAAAAAACTTAGAAATGGCTTGAGGACAATTTTATTAGATTAAAAAAAGTAATTGTAGGGCATCAAACTGTAAATCTTTGCAGCTGACTAGAGCAAGAATATGGTGAAGAGAGAAAGCCTTGTTGCTTGTAAGTAGGTGCATAGTAGGTAGGGAGTACATGACTTCACAGAAAATAAATAAAGCCCAAAGTATTAGAGAAAATATACATGGGAAATAGAACACAGTGAACATTTTATCCTGGAGGTCTTTGTACTTATTCTGTTGTAATTTGTTGTTATTGTTATTTCTCCAGAGCATTTTATGTTAATTGTTTGAAATTTTGGTCTGTACTAGCAGGGTTCTGTAGACGAATGAACCATTAAAAAGAATATACAGCAAAAGGCAATTTATTACTTTGGTTTCCATGATATAGACTGGACAGTCCAACAACTGCTGTCTGAATACTGGAGAGGCTGAGAACCTAGAAGCTGCTAAGTCTGTGAGTCTGGACTCCATCACAGTTACAGTCAATAACGGAAAGCCTGAAGGATGCCTGATGTACCCTAGTCTTGAATTCATATTGGAAGGCAACAACAAACAAACAAACAAACAAACTCCAAAACCAACCAAAAAAATTTTCCTCTATCAAAAACAATCCAAAAAGCAAAAGACAAAAAAAACCAACCAAACTGGTTGTAGTATCATTGAAGGATTGTGACAGCAAAGGCTGGTAGGCAAATGCAGCAGTGAGTTTCCTTCAATCATCTTTCTGTCTTGACTGCCAGTGGAAGTTACTGTCTATTCTGAGAAATGTCCTAACTCTGTCTTAGTGTTTTACTGCTGTGAAGAAACACAATGACCACAGCAACTCTTTTAAAGGAAACTATTTAATCAAGGTTTGCTTACAGTTTCCAAAGCTCTGTTCATCATTGTGATAGTGAGAAGCATGCATGCAGGCAAACATGGTGATGGAGAAGGAGCTGAGAGTCTACATCTTGATCCATGGACAGCACGAAGAAAGTCACTGGATCTGGTTTTGGCTTTTGAAACTCCAAAGCCCACTCTCAATGACACAAAAAGGCCACACTTCCTAATCTTTTGAAATAGTGCCACTCCCTAAGCATTTACATATATAAACCCATGGGTGCATTCTTATTCCAACTACCATACTTTTTCTGTTAATTCTTATAGCATTCTACCCTTCTAGTCCCTACTCCAGGGATTTCTTTTAGTTGATTCCATACACATTCACATTTACCAAGATAGCCATCATAAGTCCACCCTTTGTCAAGGTGCCATCCAATACAATGTCATGGTGCCATACAATACAATGTTAATTTCCAAGTGAAGACAATAACAAGGTCATAATTTTGCCTAACATGGCATAATTGTCCAA